TTTTTTTTCAGAATGACTGTCTCCCTTGTGGTTATCATGTTCGAGTTGACAGGCAGTTTGGAATTCATCGTACCTACGATGGTTGCTACGATGTTTTCGAAGTGGATTGGCGATGCAATTTGCAAAACCGTCAGTGCCCTTTTTTTGTAATGACCACACTTTTTTCATTATCGATCCAGAAGTTGTATTCTCTTGATGAAGTTTTTTCCTACACCTTCACTGTTTCCTGGCGTTCATTTAGTTCGGCTCTTCTAGGGAATTTACGATGCCCACATTGAGCTGAATGGTTATCCATTCTTGGATAACAAGGAAGAATATCCTTACTCAACTATCGCTATACAGGTATGTTTGATTTCGGAAGTATCTTGTAGAGCTTTATTTTCTATTCGATAAAATGTGAATTTTCTATTTGTGAAATATACCTCGGTGTTCAGGTGATGCGACCAAGTCCAGCTGTTGCGCCTTCTAGCCTTGCGCCGGAAAACCAACAGGAACGAAATGATCTGGCTGTGATAGTTCAGGTAACCTAACATTAGACTTGTCTGATCCTTACAATGTGGCACCAATATTCTATTTCCTCTTACTGTGTATAATCCTTCCAGGATGGAATGTCTGTCGGTGACATTGAACAACTGTTACGAGAAACTAACTTCAACGGATTCCCTGTTGTTGTATCTACAAATAGTATGTACTTGGTTGGATTCGTTACTCGGTGAGTTGCATTTCCCATCAGATTTGGAATATCGTTTTACGACGATCCACCACTGTAAATGAGACGAATATTCTTTTTTAGTGATCTAACTTCTTTATGATTCAGACGCGACCTACAACTTGCTTTGCATGCAGCACGAAAAACTCAACCATATGTTGTAACAGATTCTTTGGCTTACTTTTCTAATCAAGTTCCTGAATCAACAGCGGGAGGTCCTGCTCCACTCAGATTAAGGAAGATAATAGATCTCGTATGTTCTTTGTAGAATTATATGTTACTTTGTCTACTCTTGTGTAACATTTATTACATTTACTGCCTCATTTCAGGCCCCCATGACGGTAACTGATCAGACGCCGATGGAAACAGTTATCGATATGTTTAGGAAGCTTGGTTTGCGGCAAGTGAGTTGTAAAACTTTTGTACACGGTTGCTGTTATAGGTGCATAAAATAGAACTTTGTGCAAGGGTTTGTAGCGTACTGTTGTCGATTTTTTTCGCCGAGCGTCGACCAATACCTCCAACAACCAAAGTGGTTGGTGAAACACGTAGGGCAAAATGTGAAAGGAGAAGGCATTGGCTGATCCCATGAGATTGGTGCTCTGCGACCTAGTCTAGTGCTGAAGGCATTCAAATCGCCGTTTTTCTTCGCTCTTTGTCTTTCATAGCCTAACCACAGCGTTAAATATTGATTACTTTCTTGTTAGTAAATTGCTCGGAACGGAATACAGCCGGCATGATAAGCGCCTCGGGTTGTTTAAACTCTTGTATAAGGTCTTGCTCCCCAATTCCTACTTACCTTGATCTGCTACTGAGTATTGACCACTCACTGCATTTGTTTGGAATAACTGTGCTTTGAGCAATTCTTCACGATGATTGCTTCCCTTCTTCAGGTACTGGTGACGAAAAATGGAAAAGTACTCGGAATAATAACCAAAAAAGATATACTACAATTTATGCGAAATGCACAGTCGGGTTTCACAAATCCTAATTTTAAATAACGATAGTCGTTTGATATGCTATTTTATTTGGTTAGATCGTTGCTTGATTGTATTTTTGATTTGTTCCATAACTTTCCCGTTGTTAATATTCATCGTCCCCGATGTTATTTGACTTTTAGAGCTTTCCTTTCGCGCCACTCGTGCAAACTTTTCGATTTCTGTGATTGCTCGTATTTTTGTCCCTTTTCAAATTAACACAACTCGCTCTTCTTCAAAATCTTTTGAAAAATGTGGTGCTGAGATTCTTTTTCGAAATTTTGAATATTCTATTTGTGATTCACATCTAGTTGCTCTTCGCATCTTTCGTTTCTGTACATTTTGCTAAAATATAAACGTTTCCTTTGTCATCATTGCAGGAGTTCAGTCTTCTAGAAATTGGGTTTTAGAGTATGCTTCTATCAATTGACTACGTGGTCTTGCTTTATCTGACTTATCTTGATGATATTATCTTTTCACTAATGAATATTTTTCACAGTCTAATTTTATGTGCATCACTGTTGATGAACACATTATCTATTTTGCAAAACGGCTCTCAGTTTCACTCTTGCTCACTTATTCATCACTGCAGTTGTACGAAAATTTCGAATTTAAGACTTTCTCAGTGCATTTAAAGCTACTTGACCTAACATGCATGATATCGAAAAGTATCAGTTGAGTCACAGTCTACCTGCGACGGTTGAGTCTGGGAAAACAAGTGTACTTTTACTGGTTTTATGTGTTAAGATTATCTCGGGCCATAAATTTATTGCTGAAACTGGTATATATTGGGATTGTCCTGTCTGGATAACGATTTTGGGCGGAAAGTGTAGTTGTGATTAGAAATCGATCATTTTGAGTCATATTCGCCTTTAAAATCATACACGAAAACCCCTGACACTGCATTCCGGTAAGTTAATACATCCAAAATAACAGCGTTCCGTCGGTATCTACAACTATCTCTAAGCAGTTTGTTCCATTGACGAACCGTCGTTTTTCGGTTAGTAGTTGATCAGACGGAAGAGTGCAGGAATTGCTGCTTTCAGACTTCTATGTCCGCCCGTCCGTCGCCTGCGTGCTGCGGCAGCGGCACTAGACACGTGTTGACAACACTAGATCATGTGCCATCGCTGACAACACCTGTTAAGCGCCGCCGTCGCAGCACGCACGCTAAGGACGCACGGACGGACGGGCGTCGGAGTCTGAAAGCAGGCCATCAAACATTTCGTTCGATTGTTCATTCGTTTGTTTCAGGTTTGAAAGGTATGCGTGGTGGTATTAGCGTACCCCTCGTTAATTCTGGTATTCTTAGCGATGTTGACATGATGTTAGAGGCGTTCAAAGAGAAGCGCTCAGTTCGGTAAGTTGTCGCTAAGGTTAGTGGATATGAATCGATACCCACAATAATCATGTAAAGACCCCCTTTTTCAATGAATAAACGTTGAAAGGTGGAGGAGAGGGTTCTTCGACCTTTTTCAACGTTGAGCACGAAAGCGCAGAAGACGGCTAGCCCC